TTTAAAAATAACTAATAGGTTGTAAAAATGATTTTCATGCCTGAAAATATTTTAAAATAATTAATTAGTATTTAAAAAAATATAAAAGTATATTTTATGGTAAAATAGTGTAATAATGCATGCATAGGTTATAATTGCAAAGTAATTGCAATTACATCCTAAAAATACAAATGTAGCTATTTGTGCAATAATTGAAACTTAGTACAAATACAAATGATAAAATTAAGCCACAAAAATTATTATAAAACTATTTGTGATGCAGTTAGTGATTGTTTTATAAATAAAATGTTGGGAGAAATTAATTAAAATATTTTTAAAATGCAAAAATTGTATGAAAAATACTAATTGATACCCAAGCATAGTCTTGAAAATATTATGGGTAAAATTGGGTATCAATAGGGATGTTTCGGAATGAATTGAGACACTTAGTTCCAAGATTGGATGCTTAAGTTAAAAAGTTGACTGAATATAAACTTATGTGTAAACGACTCTAGAATGGAATTTTGATAATTCCAATAGCTCCGTATGGTGATTTTACTTAGGAGTGTGTCCGGATATTTATTTGGAAGTCCGTATTCGAATTTGGCTTGAAACGACAAAAGTTGGAATTTAGAAGTTTTAGAAATAGAGAAGTTTGACTGAGAGTTGACTTTGTGGTTATCGGGCTTAAATTTTAGCTTTAGAAATTATAATAGGTCTGTTATGTCATTTATGACTAGTGTACAAAATTTGAAGTCAATCGAAATTGTTTTGATAGGTTTCGGCATCGATCGTAGAAGTTGGAATTCGTTAGTTTTGATTAGGCTTGAATTGGGGTGCGATTCATATTTTAGTGTTGTTTAATGTAATTAGAGGCCACGACTAAGTTCGTATCATGTATTAGGATGTGTTGGCATAATTTGTTGAGGTCTCGAGGGCCTCGGGTGGATTCCAGATGGTTAACGGATCAAAATTTGGACTTGAAGCAATTCTAGAAATTTTCCAGTTCTGGTGCGATCGCACTTGCGATGGAATTGGTCGCAGGTGCACGACCACAGAAGCGACAAAATGGTCGCAGGTGCGGGCAAGGCAGAGTGAGGCAGTGGTCACAGGTGCAGGCAAGTGGTCCGCAAAAGCGGAGTCGCACCTGCGATGGAGCGACCGCAGAAGTGGAAATGATGAAGGAGCTGGGCAGTGCAGGTACGAAAGTAATTTTCGCAGATGCGGAGTCGCATCTGCGCTTGGATCACCGCAGAATCGAAGAATTTTGTCGCACTTGCGAGACTGCAGATGCGACTAAGTGAGTCGTCAGTGCAAAATGTCAAGACAATATACATTCCGAAGGGTCCAGGATTTTTCTCATTTCTTGGACCTTTCAAATACGGTTTGGGGCGGTTTCTGAGCGAGATTTCAAGAGAATCTTGAGGTAAGTCACTTGTAATTATTTTTGTTCAATAATATTGAATTATTGCTGAATATTCCGACTAGTTTACGTGAATTTGAGGTGTAAATTGAGAATTTAGGCCTAGGGATTTGAAAATAAGAACTTAGGATTTGGAGGTTGAGCACTACAAAATAACAGCATTTAACGACGGACAATATCCGTCGGTAAATAGCTTTTTTCCGTCGCCAAGCCGGATTAGCGACGGAATCGCGACCGATTTTCCTCTGTTACTGATTTGCTCGTTGCTAAGCTCTTAGCGACGGAAAAGTTGAATCCGTCGCCAAGTTAGCGACGTTCTAGCGATAAATACTACCCGTTGCTACATTTAGCGACAGAAATTCTGTTGCCATATTAGCAAATTGTGTCGCTAAATTCATAATGCATTTCGTCGTTGGTATACTTTTGCGACGGAAAGTCGGTCGCTAATCCGTCGCCAAATATTTTTAGAGACATTTCATATTTGCTTTTGGAGACAAAAATCGTCGGTTGCAATCTGTCGCTATATTATTTTATATATTTATTTCTGTTACGAAAAATATCCGTCGCAATCTGTCGCAATATCTTTCCCTTTTAGATCTTTTTTATTTATTATTTTAAATTTTCTCTGCTCTTGCATTGTGAATGTAAATTATTAGATATCCTTAATAATAGTTAAAGACCATATAAATTAACATGCTTCAAGTTTCAAAATGATATTAAAATGCATATAGTTATTACAATTAAGTTTGAATCATCTCTAACACCAACAATAACTATGCGCTCTGTTAGCGCAGGAATCAAACACATCACTAACTTATCCAGATTCCCTATTGATGCTGATTGAGAACTCGAAGGTGGTATTGATGATGAAGCATCTGATCCAGAAGAGCCACAAAGATTCGGCTCATAGTAGCATTTTGCTTGAGATCCAAGACCATATAATCTTCTCTTCTTTTCCCCTCCCGCGGCTTCATAATATGCTTTACATTGATGTTTCTATGCAGTAACAAAATTTAGAATTTTTTATAGCTAATAAATGATGGAAAACAACAATTTAAACTCTAAAATAAGTAACAGTGGCAACAGTCAGCAGTAGTAGTAATTAGTTTTCTTCCTTTGCATCTAAATAACATTGGCAGCAGTTATAGTCTATACTCTAAAATGACAGTCAAGTTAGATTAACAATTCATTCTTTCCCTTCAAAGAGTGGTTTCTTTGGAAACGACATTGAAGATTTTTGGAACATGGGGATGACTATTGTATTAGCAACAACAGAATAAAGCTTAATAAAATTCTACCTAAGGAACATGAGAAAGAAGCACAAAGGGAACATGTAGTAGTACATAATATATAATAGCAATCAGTTATTAGAATAATCAGAAAGATAACTAGTGATAAGGTAGTATGGGCAGAGTGATAGATCTAAAACTTCTTCTTAGTTTTTCCACAGATATTTACAAGTGAAAGCTCCTATATTCTCTGGTATTCAATAAGGAATATCGTCTTTCTCCAGAGGTCAAATAAATTACTACATCTTGTTCAAGTTTAAAATACTAATATTTTTTAACAGGTAGTAGTACTTAACCAAACACCACCCAGCCCTCTTTTTTTAAAGTGAAAAAATCACATATACTTAATTGCAAGATACTTTGAAATAATTAATCAATCAACCTTGTCCACCAGGTTTTTTCCTCTAATAAGTTATTGGCAAACACAAACTAGAATTCAGCTAAAAGAAACCCAATCAAAGCAAAGTAGTAAATACATTAGCATAATATATTCTCCTTTTATGTGGATGAAGAAAAATAAAGATGTGTACTACTAAAGATTCCAAACATTTCAATCAATGCTGCTAACTTGAAAGGAAATACGGTAAATATATTTTTAAGGACATACAAAATAAGATAAATTTACTTGGTCCTTGTAGGAAACGGAAACCAATTAGACATGAAAGGTCCAACGGAATGAGCACCATAACAATATTGTAAATAAACATGAAGGTAGGTGCAGAGAAACATCAGCTGAGCGTCACATTCTTCAATAATAGATTGATTGGCTACTCACCTGGAACTGGTCGCACAGAGAGAGCTCTAGATACATATAGAGAAACATATACACATAGAGAGAGGGGAGAGATAGAAGTAGAGGGAGTTTACCTAAACTTGATTTAACTACTCGTACAAGCGACAACGATGTTAATTAAGAAGAAATAGAGCTTCACATATCATCACAAGTGGTGAAAGCACCCTATGAAACACAAAAACATAAATTAAATTTCTAATACAAAATTTATCAAAAGTTGTGCGAAGAAATTTTTTGTAGATCTGGACAAAAAATTAAGAAGACAAGCAAGAGAAGATTAATTAGGCCACCAAAAGAATCTGTTAGTTTCATATATTAAACAAAACATCTATTAGACAAATATACTTGATAATATACACAAATTGGTGGCTTACCTATTTTGGTAACCAAAATTAGTACTAAGCATAAGAAAGAGAAGAAGAAACAAAGCCATCTACAAACCTTAGATTCATGTTGGCTACTAATTTTTGCTCTTGTTCTTGAAATTCCTTACCCAGTTTATCTCCCAATTGATTTTTCTCTCCCTATGAAAAAAAAATACAAATTAAATTTCTAATACAAAATTTGTCTAAAGCTATGTGAAGAAATTTTTTGTAGATCTGGACAAAAAATTAAGAAGATAAGCAGAAGAAGATTAATTAAACTACCAAAGGAATCTACCAAAAAATTCTTGAAACTTTTACAATCTAAGAAGATGACGGTCTATAGAGCCATTTTCATGTCAAAATTGACACAGAAATCGGATTGTTATAAGCTTTCATGATATAAAGAAACAATCAAAAGGATAAAACCACATCAGATGACAAAAATCTATCCAACAAAAAAATCGAAAACATAATATTTGCTAAGCTACAATACTCCAATAATTATAATATAAAATTCCAACAAAATACCAGTGTTCACTTGAAGTTTTGATTTTATCACATCTAAAGTCAAGAATAACCCAAAATCTAATTCTTATAAAGTTTCGTAAAGTAACAATCAAAGACATGAAATCGATTCAACAAAAAGTCCCAAAATACAAATTTTGCTAAGCTATATAAATAAATCTCCCAAAAAGATACCAGTTTCAAATAAATCTGATTTTTATCACAAATGATAACAAAAAATTAGTGTTAAGCTTATTGAAGAAGAAACAAAACCATCTATAAACCTTAGATTCATATTGGCTAATGATTTTTGCTCTTGTTCTTGAAAACCCTCATCGTGTGTCTTCTACTGATTTTGCTCTCAGGCGCCTAATTTTGCTCTCTCATGTGTTTCTGCTGCTTTAGAAGAGACTGATGTTTTACCAAATTTGTTCGCTAGGGAAAATAATAAAGTTGTCTTCAGCGACAGATTTAGCTACGGATAGGGTTCCGTCGCTAACAATAATATTACTTTTTATTAAAAAATACATTATCCACGGAAATTTCCATAGCAAGGAGTTTTAAAATATTTTGATAAAAAAATTAAGGCTAGCGACGGATTTTCCGTTGCTAAAGCCGTCGCTGGAGTTAAATAAATTTTGTCGCTAAATTCGTAGGTAAATTGAGGGCGCCAATATTTAGCGCCAACTGCTAACTATTTTTTTGCTTTTTTGCAACGAAACTTTTATTCCGTAGCCAATCTGTCGCTAATCAGCTACGGAACTAAAGTTGTCGCTAAAATCTGTCGCTATTTGCTGTTTTTTTGTGTGGAGTTGATGTGGAAATTTGGTAGATTTGGTATGGTTGGACTCGTGGTTGAATGGGCGTTCGTATTTTGTAGCTTTTGTCGGATTCCGAGACGCGGGCCTCACTATTGACTTTTGAGTTGACTTTTCAGATTTTATTTGGAAACTTAGCTTTTTCATATGGAATTGATTCCTATACTTTGTGTTGATTGAATCGAATTATTTATGACTAGATTCGAGGCGTTCAGAGGCTAATTCGTGAGGCAAGGGCATATTGGAGTAGGGATTTGCACGACTTGAGGTAAGTAACACTTCTAAACTTAGTTCTGAGGGTATAAATCCTCGAATTACGTGTTATGTGATTGATTTGGAGGTGACGCACATGCTAGGTGAGAGGCGTGTGAGTGTGCACCATAGAAATTGTGACTTAGTTCATTATGTGGAATGGCGTAGTCAAATAATCGTGTCATTTATCCACATATACTCCACATGTTAGAAAAAATGAGCTAAGACTCATGTTAAAATCATGCTTACGCTATATGTCGTATTCTTTTTGGGACCCACAGAGGTCGTGTTGCTGTTGAATTACTTGTTTAAATTTACAGTTATGTACCCTGTCACATCTATCATTTTCATATCATGTATCTGTCTCTATTGCTTTTCGTTGATACATCATATCATCATATCAGGCTGATTTTCATGACATTGTGAGCCTGAGAAACTTGAGAGATTAATGACTGGCAAATAGATTCCACACAAGGAGAGAGGGGTTGGGGACACATAGAATACACCTTAGTGTATAGTGGTCGAGGGCCTGATTGTGAGTAATATTTATGGGATCGGGCTGCACGCTGCAGCATGTTTTACTAATTTATGCCTGGATCTGGCTTATTATAGCTCTTGGGCTGGATCTACCCCTCCGGAGTCTACACACCCATAGTGAGCGCAGTTGCTATTTATATTTGGGTTGGATTTTCCCTGGGCTGGATCAGCCCTAAACATTTATATTTGGACTGGATTTGCCTTGGTTGGATTTGCCTCGGGCTGGATCTGCCCTAAATATTTATATTTGGGCTGGATTTGCCCTATATAGTATTGAGTGAGTGACAGTCAGTTGCTATTTATATTGAGGGTTGGACCTGCCCTGGGCTGGATCTGCCCCACACAGTACTGAGTGATTGAGTACTCTGAGAGTGTGAGTACGCGAGACTTTCATTGTGTTATATCACATACGGCATGTACATTGGCATGTAGATATGGAGATGTCATATTTCTCATATCATTCTGATTTAGTCTATTTTTACTTGTATTGGTTTAACTGTTGAACTTGAAAGCATGCCTACATTTCTATGATTGTTATTTTTATAATTGAACTATACCTATTGAGCTCATCACTACTTTCAGCCCAAAGGTTAGTCTTGTTACTTATTGAGCACATTAGGTCGGTTGTACTCATACTACACCCTGCACTTCGTGTGTAGATCCAGGTACTTCCAAATACGGCGACTGCTAGATTTTTGAGATTTATCTGTTGGAGACTATCGAGGTATTTGCCTTGGCGTCCGCATATCTTGACTCTCTTTCCTTTCAGTTATTTGTACTGTTCTATATTTCTAGACAGTGTTTTTATCATTTAGACTATGTTGTCTCTTAGATGCTCATGTACTCAGTGATACCAGGTTTTGGGAGTGTATGGTATTGACACGCGGTATTTAGATCAGTATTTATGGGATTATACTCTTAAATTTATTTATCATGTTTTCAAACTTAAAGAATTTCATGATTTATCTTGGTTTTCGGCTTCGCTAGTATTGAGATAGGCACCATCACAACATGTGAGATTTTGGGTCGTGACAAGTTGGTATCAGAGCCTAGGTTACATAGATCTCATGAGTCATGAGCAGTTTTAGTAGAGTCTTTCGGATTGGTACAGAGACGTCTGTACTTATCGTCGAGAGGCTGCCGAACCCTTAGGAAAATTTCACTTTCTTGTATTCTTATCATGTGAATTTGTTGATTCTGGGAATTAAACCTTCTATTATTCTATTCCCTCATAGATGGTGAGGACACGTGCTACCGGTTCAGGTAGACAACCACCAGTACCACCAGCTAGGGCCACGAGAGGTCGAGGTTGTGGTAGAGGACGGGGCCGCGGTAGAGGCCGAGGTGCAGCTCATACAAAAACTAGAGCAACAACTACAGACCCACCAGTTGCTCCAACTCAGCAACGGATTCCAGATATAGTTGAGCCGGTGGGACCAGCTCAGGCACCAGCTGTGCCTATTGTGATTTCAGGCCTTTAGAAGGCTTTGGCCCAGATATTAACTATTTGCACTGGCCTTGCTCAGATGGTTTCAGCTCAGGCCGCACCAGCCACTTCTTAGGCCGGGGAAGGTACTCATACTCCTGTCGCCCGTACTCCGGAGCAGGTAGTGCAGGGACTTCATATACTAGGGATACTACTAGCCTAGCCAGTTGCAGTTGCTCAGGCCCAGGTGGGTCCCATCATGAGTGATGAGGGTAGAAGAGACTAGAGAGATTTGAGAGGCTCAAGCCTCCATCATTCAGTGGGGTTGAGTCAGAGCATGCTCAGGATTTCTTGGACAGATGCCAACAGATTTGTTACATCTCGCGTTTTCGTACAGTATAATTTTATTTTCAGTTAACCGACGTAGACTCGGGGATGAGATCATCTTGACGCTAACGTACTTACGCTATTTATAGCAAGCGATAAATAAGTGTTATGAAGGATAAAGGGGTACACGGATTAAAGAAAACGAGTTTCATTGAAAGTGGCCAATTTGGAATAAAATACGGGTCGAGCGATAATACCTGATAATTATGAACTAGTACCATGCAAGGTATCATATGACCACGGTAGTATAATATATAAAGTATTTTAAAAATAAATAGAATTTTAAGTAATTTGTGGTAATTTTTAAATTATACGGGTAATTGATTAATTATCGGGTAACATGATATTACCCAGTTAACTAATAAGTGGATAAAAATTACGCCCTCTGTTCCAGTTTATGTGAACCTATTTTCTTTTTTGTCCGTTCCAAATAGAATGACTCCTTTCTAAATTTAGAAATAATTTAGCTTAAATTTATAATTTTACCCTTAATGAGAAGCTTTTATAACTACACAAATACTCTAGACCTCTTTTTGATTTGTTTAGGACCACAAATTCCAAAAGTCTTCATTTTTTCTTAAAATTTGTGCCCAGTGAAACATGTTCACATAAATTGAAATGGAGGGAGTAATAAATTAAACCCCCCTCCCATACACACACGTGGCAAGAAGCCACACACCTAGAAAATGACTAAGTAGTCATGATTCTGGGTGGCCACCTATGAGTTAAGTTAAGTCTTTCCAAGAGTTGCAAAACTTTATCCAATTCTTAGTTTCAATTTATGTCCTTGGCTTGAAACCAAGAAACATAAACATTTTGTTCACATTCCTAAGAATTGACACTCCATCTTTCCAATTTCAATTAATCAAACAACATTTGCATTCTTTGGTTTTAAAAAAAACCAAAAACGTGAAGATGCAGAATCATTTCGTCCAAATATTCAAATCCATAAGCAAGGTTTCGTTCAAATTCAGAAGTTGAAGCTTCATCCTCTCGTTCCAACGTGTTTCACAGAAGCAGAAGCTTCACTTCGATTAAATAATTCAAGGAACATGTATGTTAAGGCTCTTCCTTCTTTCTTTTGGCGTGATCCAAATTATATTGAAGAAACGAGCAAATACACTACTTTCATAAATTACTCTATTCATAGAATTATTAGGGTTATCTATATTCTTGATTCCCCATGAAAATTATTATTATTTTATGTTCATGGGTCTCTGAATAATACGTAGTTGGAAAAGTTTATCCGGAAGGCATATTGAGATTATTACGTATTTTTCATGCATTTCACTCATGTGCATTGACCCATGACCAGATG